AACTACAAGCATGCCCCTTAAGATCAGGAACAAGACAGGTATGTTCACTTTTACCTCTCTTATTCAACATAGTACTAGAAGTCCTAGCCACAACAATTGGACAAAAAGAAGAAGAAAAAAGGCACTCAAATTGGAAAGGAAGAAGTAAAACTGTCTTTGCAGATGACATGATACTGTACATACAGACTCCCCAAGATTCCACCAAAAACTATGTGGACTCATAAATGAATATAGCAAATCAGCATGATGCAAAATTAGTATCCAGAAACCAGTTGCATTTTTATATGCCAATAATGAACTAACAAAAAGGGAAACTTTTTAAAAATCCATTTATGATTGCAACAAAAAAGAATAAAATACCTAGGAATAAATCTAACCAATGATATAAAAGACCTTTACCTAGAATTTATAAGATACTGAAGAAATAAATTGAATAAAATACAAATAACTGGAAGCAGATATCATGTTCTTCATTAGGCAGAATTAACATCATTAAAATGTCCATACTACCCAAAGCAATCTATAGATTCAATGCAATTCCTATCAAGAGCCCAGTGACATATTTCACAGAACTAGAACAAATATTTCAAAAATTTCTATGGAACCACAAAGGCCCTGCATAGTGACAGCAATTCTGAGAAAGAAAAATAGAGTTGGAGGAATCACATTGCCTAATATCAAACTATACTATAAAACCATAGTAATCAAAACAGCATGGTACTGCCATAAAAACAGATACACAGATTAATGGAACAGAATAGAGAGCCCAGAAATAAACTCCTACCTTCATAGTCAATGAATATTTGACAGAGGAAGCAAGCACATACAATGGGCTAAAGATAGTTTATTCAAAAAATGGTATTGTGAAAATTGGACAGATAAGTGCAGAAAAATGAAAGTAGACCACCTTCTTATAAAACACACAAGAATAAATTCAAAATGGATCAAAGACTTAAGTGTTAGACCTGAGACTATAAAAATTCTAGAAGATAGGCAGAAAAATTCGGACATTGCTCATAGCACTATTTTATTGGATATCTTTCCCTAGGCAAGCAAAACAAACAAAAGGAAAAAGAAATAAATGGAACTATGTCAAATTTAAAAGTTTTTCACAGCAAAGAAAATCACCAACAAATAACAAGACCACCAGCAGAATGGGAGAATGTATTCACTGATACATCTGTTAAGTGGTTAATACCCAAAATTTATAAAGAACTTACAAAACTCAAACAAAAACAAAACACCAAACTACAACCTAATTAAAAAATGGGAAATGGACCTGAATAGACACTTCTCCAAAGTGGACATACTGATGGTCAATAGACATATGAAAAGATGCTCAATGTCACTAATCATCAGAGAAATGCAAATTGAAACCAAATGAGATATCATCTCACACCTGTTAAAATGACTACAAGTGCTGGCCAGTATGTGGAGAAAGGGGAACCCTTTTGCACTGTTGGTGGGAATGCAGATTGGTGTGAATGCAGATTGGTGCAGCCACTGTGGAAAACAAGATGGAGGTACCTCAAAAATTCAAAATGAATCTGCTTTTGGTCCCAGTGATCCCACTTCTGGGAATATATCCAAAGTTATTCAAAACATTAATTCAAAAGAACATAAGCACCCTATGTTCATTGCAGCATTATTTACAATTGCCAAGATAGGGAAGCAGCCTAAGTGTCCATCAGTAGATGAGTGGATAAAACAACTATGGGGCATTTACACAATGGAATACTACTCATCCATGAAAAATGAAAAATTTACCCTTTGTGACAACATGGATAGACCTGGAGAACATTCTGCCTAGTGAAATAAGCCAGGCAAAGAAAGGCAAATAACATATGATTTCAGTCACATGTTGAATCTAATGAAAAAACTGAACTAACAAGCAAAAAAGAGACAGACTCATAGATGGAAAGCAGAATGACAGAAGGGGTAGGGAGGGTAGGAGTGGAGGGATTGAGCAAAAAGGAAAAAGGACTCATGGACATGGACAACAGTGTGATGATTGCTGGAGGGAAAGCAGTATAAGGGGATTAAATAGTAATGGCCAAAAAGTACAATAAATATTAAATTTAAAAAGACATAAATTGAAACTATCAGAAAGAGAAATTAGAAAATCAATCCCACTTATAACTGCATCAGAAATTAAGATACTCAGGAATAAGTTTAACCAATGAGGTAACAAAGACTTGTACTCAAAATGGAAAAATGCTAATGGACAGCAATAATATTATTAAAATCTGCATAGTATTCAAAACAATCTATGGATTCAATGCAATCCCTATCAAAATACACATGTTAGGACACAATACAAATTTCATAAGTTTAAGAAGATTTAAATCATATCAAGCATCTTCTCTGAACACAATGTTAAGAAACCAGATCAATTGCAAAAAAAAAAACACCCCAACAACCCAGAAAAACATAAATACATGGAGGCTAAATAACATGTTATTAAACAATGAATGGGTCAAAAACAAGGTCAAGGAAGAAATCAAAAGATACCTTGAGGACTTACGGCAAAGATGGAGGCGTAGGTAGATACCCTGTGCCTCCTCACACAACCAAAAGGACAACAAATTTAAAAACAAAAAACAACCAGAACTGCCAGAAAATCAAATTGTGTGGAAGTCTGACAACCAAGGAGTTAAAGAATAAATATTCATCTAGACTAGTAGGAAGGGCAGAGATGAGCAGTTGGAGAGGAGAGGACTCCCAGCAAGGCGGTGGCTGAAGGACCGGAACAGGCATGGGGTTGCTGGTAGACTGTGCAAACCCACATTTGTGAGTGGATAAACCAGGAGAAACAACTAGGGAGCAAGACAGAGACCGTGTAACCCAGGGCTCCAGCACAGGGAAATAAAGCCTCAAGCTTGTAACTGAAAAAAGCCTGTGGGGTTTGTGGTGGCAGGAGAAATTCCTGGCCTCCCAGGAGAGTTCCTTGCAAAGACCCACAGGGTCCTAGAACAAACACAAACCCACCCACCTGGGATTCAGCACCAGAAGGACCCAATTTGCTTGTAGGTAACAGAGGAAGTGACTGAAAGCTTGCAGAGAGCTGAACAAGCACCATTGTTGTCGATATATCAGATCCCTCTCCCACATACACAGCCACATGTAGCAATGTGCATTGTTCCACCCTATCGAATACCTAAGTCTCTGCCCCTTACTATGTAAAAGGTGTGTGAAGACAAAAACAAAAAAGGCCCAAAGCAAAGAACAGATCTAAGCTCCAGAAAAAATACAACTAAGCAATGAAGAGATAGCCAACCAATCAGATTCAGAGTTCAAAACACTGGTAATCAGGATGTTCACAGAAATGGTTGAGCAAGATCACAATATTGAGGAAAAAGTGAAGGCTATGAAAAGTGAAATAAAGCAAAACGTACAGAGAACCAAGAGTGACGGAAAGGAAAGAGGGACTCAAATCAATGGTTTGGAGAAGAAGAAATAAACATTCAACCAGAACAAAATGAAGAACAAGAATTCAAAATAAATGAGGAGAGGCTGAGGAACCTCTGGGACAACTTTAAACATTCCAACATCCGAATCATAGGGGTGCCAGAAGGAGAAGAGGAAGAGCAAGAAATTGAAAAATTATTTAAAAACATAATGAAGGAGATCTTCCCTAATCTGGCAAGGAAATAGACTTCCAAGAAGCTCAGAGAGTCCCAAAGAAGTTGGACCCAAGGAGGAACACACCAAGGCACATCATAATTACATTACTCAAGAGTAAAGATAAGGAGAGAATCTTAAAAGCAGCAAGAGGAAAGGAGACAGTTACCTACAAAGGAGTTCCCATAAGGCTGTCAGCTAATTTCTCAAAAGAAACCTTGCAGGCCAGAAGGGGCTGGAAGGAAGTATTCCAAGTCATGAAAGGCAAGGACCTACATCCCAGATTACTCTATCCAGCAAAGTTATCATTTAGAATGGAAGGGCAGATAAAGTGCTTCCCAGATAATGTACTGTTAAAGGAGTTCATCATCACCAAGCCCTTATTATATGAAATGTTAAAGGGACTTATCCAAGAAAAAGAAGATAAATAGGAACAGTAAAATGACAAGAGACTTGTAACTACCAACAAATGAACCTAAAAGAAAAGAAAAACAATGAAAACAAAAACTAAGCAAACAAGTAGAACAGGAACAGAATCAGAGAAATGGACATCACATGGAGGGATTTCAGAGGGAAGGAGGGAGGGCGGAATAGGGAGGGAAGGTACAGGGAAGAAGAAGCATAATTTGTAGACATAAAATAGATGGGGAGATATAAAAAATGGTATAGGGAACAGAGAACTCAACTTATATGTACAACCCATGGATATGAAGTAAGTGGGGGGTGCAGAGTGGTTGGGGGATAAAGGTGGAAAAACTGGGAAAACTGTAATAGCATAATCAATAAAATACTTAAAAATAAAAATAAATAAAATTTTAAAAATATAATGCACCCCTATGTTCACTGCAGCATTACTATGAATAGTCAAGACATGGAAGCAACCTAGATGTCCATGGATAGATGAATGGATAAAGATGTGGTGTACTATAGAGTATTATTCAGCAATAAGAAAAAACAGTATCTTGCTGTTTGTGACATGGATGGACCTAAAGGGTATTATTATGTAAGTAAAGTAAGTCAGATGAAGACAAATACCATATGATCTCACTAACATGTGGAATCTATAAAAAAAGGAAAGAATGAATAAGCAGAAAGACTCAGAGATATAGAGAATAATTAGCTGATGGTTGCCAAAGAGTGGAGGGTGGAAGGAAAGACACAAAATTCCATGGATCACTTGACCTCCATAAATCTTTACTGTGACCTTTGTAGCATATTGGGTCTCAGTAGTCCTCAGAAATAATATTTATTCTTTTCCAATACACAATCAACCTAGTAAATAGTCACAAGTCCTCTTGAGATAGGTTAGAAGGGGTACCCAGCTTCTCTTTTATTTAAGAGGCTTCTGTCAGGTGGTGGCCATCTCTTACTTGGCACCAATGGTGGCCCTCAGATCCCTCGTGAAACCCAAGATTGTCAAAAAGAGGACCACGAAGTTCATTTGGCACCAGTCAGACCGTTATGTCAAAATTAAGTGGAACTGGTGGAAACCCAGAGGCATTGACAATAGGGTGCACAGAAGATTCAAGAGCCAGATATTGATACCCAACATTAGTTATGGGAGCAACAAGAAAACAAAGCACATGCTGCCCAGTGGTTTTCAAAAGTTCCTGGTCCATAACGTCAAGGAGCTTGGAGTGCTGCTGATGTGCAACGAATCTTATTGTGCTGAGATTGTGCACAATGTCTCCTCAAAGAACCGCAAAGCCATTGTGGAAATAGCAGCCCAGCTGGCCATCAGGAGTCACCAATCCCAAAGCCAGACTGCACAGTGAAGAAAATGAATAGACAGATTGTGTGCACATTGTATTTGTTAATAAACCTTAAAATTCTGGAAAAAAAAAAAAAAGGCTTGTTAGTAGACTGACTCAAGCCTGAAAACTTAAGAGATGTTCAACAGACTGACTCAAGTTGGAATTCTCATCAGATAGAGATTTTCTGCGCATACGAGTCTTATAAAACATTAAAAGGATGCCATCTATTCTGCTCTAGGCACCGTGTAGTCAACTACTAAGAATAAAGGTATCTACAGATAAGAATGCTTTTTCAAAACTCCCAGAGGCCTTCTCCTTCTCTTTGTATGTTAATTGCATGTTCATAATTTTAATTTTTGTCTTAATGTATGCACTCAAGAACCTATTGTTCCATATTGCTAGAACCCCTTGATTTCTCCATGGCTTTCTTTTCCTTTACCTGAAGTTCATTCCATGGTACCACTAGTAAAAATTTGAATTATGACACTGTGCCATAGGTTATACATGTCCCATCCCCTGCCTCCCCTCCACCAATCCCCGTAAGTTTATTATTGATCTCATCATTTAAGAATCTCTTTCTTACCCTCGCTAGTGTGGTTCAGTGGTTGAGTGCTGGCCTTTGAATCATGGAGTTGCTGGTTCGATTCCCAGTCAGACACATGCCTGGGTTGTGGGCCAGGTATCCAGTGGGGGGCTCACGAGAGGCAACAACACATTGATGTTTCTCCCCTCTTTCTCCCTTTCCCCTAAAAAATAAAATCTTAAAAAAGTGTTTCTTGAAGTCACTTCCCATTCCTAATACAATCTGGGTCCCAACAAGAGACCACAGCTATAGCTGTGGTCCTTTATTTACATACACCCTGTCTACAAATGTATAGGTGTGGGGGAAACCAAGGTGACCCAAGGCAGAGAAATACCCAGTACTTTTTTAATTAAGAAGTTTTTAAATCCTCACCCAAGGATACATTTACTGACTTTAGAGAGAGGAGCTGAGAAAAAACATTCATCAGTTACCTCCTGTATGCACAGGGACCAGGGATCAAACCTGCAACCTTCTGGTGTGTGGGACAACACTCCCAGCCAATAGTGCACCCAACCAGTGCACTCAGTACTTTCTGCAATTAGGTTAGTAATAGCCTTGCATAAACAGGGTGAGCAAAACTAGGTGTACTCATATGCAAAATGCAAGTAACATAATACAATGAACTGTTCCGTGTACTATCTGTACACCTACTTTTGCCCCACCCTGTGTTGTTATACCTATCTTTGGAGGTCTTCAGCTTTCTGCACCTCTCATTTAGATCTTTCCACAGTACTTTGTAGTTTTCAGGATACAAGTGCCACTCAATGTTAGACTTATTCCTGTTTTGTAGGCATATTCATTATTTCTGAAACATTTGGGAGGTGATGACTACTGGCAATCAATCCCCTTGGACACCTTGTGGACCAACATCTTTTTCCTTTGCAAATAAGTCTCAGTTCTGTTTATGTGATGAAAACTGACAAAGTGAAACCCAGAGCTGCAGTGTTTTTATTTTACGGGGCTCACAGTAGTGTAGTGTTACTATTTCAACTCAGTATGAATTACTTGAGATAGCACAGCCTTCTGCTTAATAAACATACCACACACACATTTGGAGTTCCAGTGGGCTTTTATTGAGATAAATGAACAAAAATCAAGATTTTACCAACCATCTTTCCTGAACTTTATCAACTCAGCAGAGACTTGGGTCTATATATGCACATACAACATAACACATCCCAACAACAACAACAAAAAATGTCCCACTGGAACACTTGCCAATTAACAGAAAGCCAATTTCCCCTTTCCCCAAATGTTTTCAAAACTTTTGAGTCCCTGCTGTTCACATCTCAGTGGAATTGGTCCCTTGTGGCTAGGGACAATGAAATTCTACCCCATCTTTTTTCTTTTTGAAAAAAATTTTTTCAGGTTTTTAGTTTTCAAAAAAAGGGATGTCACTTTGTTTTCTCCAGGCACCCCTCCCCCACAACCATTGATTAAAATACAGTAGGTCTGTATCTTAACAACCCAATCCTACCCCTCACCCATGCCCAGTATTGTGTATTGGAGAATTTAAATACACCTCTTGTTAGAATCTGTCAGCTATGGAGGGGCAGAGTCCAGGTGCCCAGCTAGCTCCCTGACCTCATGAACTGTTATAAACTTTGGACCCTTAACTCTTTACCCCAAAGATGAGTTTTTACATCAGGAGAGTAGATTTTCTTTGGGAGTTTTTAAAGAACTATCTTTAAGGATATACAGTAGAACCACAAACTCACGCAAATCCATGTAAGTTTACCAAAAAGTTGACTGACTTCAGCTCCCACAAGGCCAATAATTTTGACAAAGATATTTTGCCAAAAGATGATTCTACAATAACAATTTTTAAGGTATACAGAACAGTGAAAAAAGTGGCAAATTAAAATAACATGGCTTAATTCCCAAGAATTTATTTCATCTTTTTGTTACTCATCTGTAGGGTCAGGAGTGTGGCTCAAGGCAGTTTTTGATGAGGTTATGGGCTTTCAAAGTATTTGTAAATCCTTAGTGCAGACACCCTCCCTTTTGGGGCACAGTCACCTCCCTCCCACCCCTATTAAAACAATAAAAATAAACTGAGTGATCAGAATGAGATGTTTTGATTCCAACAATTTACACTCAAGCTTTGTGCTGAGCTGTCTGGTTCTAACCCAAGCATGATGGTATCAAACACAAAGCACACAGCAGAGGAAAGATGCTCCCATCTCATTCTGAAGACAAATATCGATAACCAATTGCCTCCCCCCACCCCCAGCCTTTGGGGTCAACCCTTATGGTGCAGGGGCAACTTGAAAATAATTGAGACATTTTTAGGTTTCCCTCTCCCTTATTTCTTCCCATGGAACATCATTGTGGAATTTATTCCATTCCTAAGGGAAAGGCAAGAAAGTTCCTCCATCAGTATGGAAAAAGATAAAATAAAATAGGCCCAGAGGCAACAAGGTGTGTAACAGTCCATAACCCATTACACAACTATACAACCACAGGCTAAACCATGGGTTGGACATTATTTAAATACTGAAAACGATAGTTTTCATCCAAATGAACCACTGGAAAAAATGTTAGCACTAAAAATAAACACCCAATACTGGAAGAACATGAAAATTTCCAATAGTAACAAATGCTTATTGTTAGGGGGATTTAAAAAGAGACTAGGCTTTGACCTAGTTCTTAGAGCATCTTTCCATTTAACAATTCCTATTCCAAGAGTCAAGCACCAAAACTGGACAGCTGCCTGTACAAGACTGTGTCCAATATTGGTGTCCCAACAGTTTAAGTGCCACTCCTCATCAGAGGCTGTACTTCAGTAATACTTTCAAATCTGTGCTTTAAGGACCCACAGGCATGTGGCACCAAGCAGACACAGTCTTGAGGATGGCAAAGAGGACTGTGCTGTTTATAGTCACCCACATTCTCTAGCAAGACACAAAACTGCATTTACGAGCTTTTTTTTTTTTTTTTAAAAAAATAATGATCCCTCTTATCTTGCCAGAGGTGCAGGAGAAAAGCACTGCATCAGTACTAGGGTGAGTTTTTTTTTGTTTTTTTTTTTTTTTGGTCAGAAGTTGATGCCTTTTAAATCCCCTCCCTCCAATCCCTTCCTGGAAAAAAAAATTACTTCTTTAATTAGGACTTGTATTTAGTAGCCAACACTGGCTAGATACCAAATAAATGAGCTTATTCTTGAGTTTGTACTGTGCAGCTCTTGCTAGTTTTTAAGGAGTTAGGGCTATGTCTGATCAGGAGGCATCTGCAGGATCTTGATCCTCAAGATATTCTGGGTGAGTCACAAAGTTTTTGTTTAGAACAAGACAGTAAAAACTGCAACTATGAATAACTGATTTCTTTATCCAGATGAGTCAAACATAAAAGCATTTGCAGGACTCTAATATTTCAGGGTTTTGAAAAACAATATGGAAATCAAATTTTTAAACATTCTTATTTTGCCTTTTTTAAAAAAAAACCCTTAGATGCCTCCTGATTGACCTAGTATACTTGGGTTAGAAGGGAATTAAAAACATTTAAAAAAAAGTTCACTGGTTTTGATTCAGCTCACTCCTTTTGCCTGGAGATCAGGCCAAACATCAAGCATGTTGGGAGGGGCACAATTTAATGCAACACTATTGACTGTAAAGCATTTGCCAGCAATTTACAATGCAAAATGACAAATAATTCTGGTCACAAAGCTAGAGGATAGCAAGCAGCTTTCTGCAGCATGAAAGTTAACAGTTCTCAGGGGTTGTCCATTCCTCAAGTTTATGTATCAAGGTGGGCAGAGGGCAACACACTTGTACAGTACAGGTGACCCACACAAATTAAGCCCCAGAACTGCTAATTTTAACCAAAGCTGGTAACTGGCTAATATTGTGAAATACAAATCCATGCTCTATACATACACTGCCACTCAACTGAATTCCCACACTGCAAGGCAGATTAATCTCTGTCCCCTTTCATAAAGCTTGAAGTTTCAAACTTTTAAAAAGGGGGAAGAAGCAAAATCAGAGAGAACCTCTCAAAAATAACACCATGAATTAAAAGTTTTGGAACTTTCTTGCACCCTCTGACAGGCCTCCTCTGAAGGTACTACATGAGATAGTGTGGCAGCAAACAGTGAAGATGTCTGGGGCCCTTTTCCACCACAGGGTTCCCAGAGACGCCTGCTCTCTATAGTAGGAGGCCAAAGCACTTTTTAGAATTTAGTGTTGCAGAAAACTGAGCCCCTCTCATCTTTAGCTGCTCCCATAATCACTCTAATCCCCTTAATCCCAGCAACCTTCATCAAAAAAAAAATAGATATATATATGTGTGTGTATATATATATGTATATGTGTGTATATATATATATATATACCCAGAAAAAACTTATTTACAAAGTTTATACAAGTATACACACCCAATTTTCTATGGGACACATTTTGTCACAGAGGAAAGAGGGTCAAGGCTGATATGTCTACACATC